AGTAAATTTTTCTCATAAATATTTATAAATTAAAATTTTTTTGAATACTAAAATTTGGCAGTACATTTTCGAAACATATCCATATTATATTTGGAATGAGTGTAGTAAAGAAAGTTGTTCCGAATGGGTTGTTGAATTAGGTTAAGGTTTTAAAACGTTTTCCATATTTACATTTTTAAAATTCTAGTATGACCGCAAGGCTTGTGAGTACCTACTGTTCAGCTTTCAGCTCGGACCTAAAACTTGATTCTTCCAAACTTTGGCATTTTTTGTTTGTATAAGAAAATAATACGCTTGAGTCCTTTACTTGAGTACTTTAAAATTACTTTCATTCATATGCGAATATATTTCAAGGATGACATACATTTAAAATGAGCAATGTACGCAGTCTTTGAAATAGAACAAAGCAAATTGAAAGAAGCGTTAACATAATACTCGAATTTTAGGGTTAATTGCGTGACATAAGAAAATGATTGTACTTTTTTAATAGCATTTTTATTACCGTTAGCTTTCTGCATTCATTGAAATTTGGAAAAACTTACAGTTTCGGAAATATGAGGTGCCAAAAATCTTATAGAGACGATAACTTAAGAGAAGGTGGAGGTGGAAAAAAGCTTTCTTTTAACGAAATGAACAATTTATTAGTGTCTAAAATGTGCTTAAATTCTAGGCTTCTACAACTTACGGATCTTAGATAACGGTTAGTTTTAACAACCGTTTTCCTTTTTTGAAGTTCAAATGTTATATGCCGCGGTAGCAGAAGCCAGTCACTATTTTTTTTTTTCATTTACAAAATTAGAAAAATTTTTATGGTTTCGCTGCAATATTAAGTGGAAAAATGGCATTTCTAGGGGTTTGAGGGGCAATAACTTTTAGAAAGGAAAGATAAGTAAAAATTTTCTTCTACGGAAGTAAGTTTTTGGAAATAAGTTTTTCATACATATGAAATTTCAGCTTTCTATCATCAAGGGTGTTGAAGTTTTGTAAACAGACACACGGACAGACGGACGTACGGACAGAGTTGAACTAATAAGCACTTTTTATCAAAATTTTTTTGGAAGTGTGCTTAAAAACATTTTAAAAAGCACAAGATAATTTCGAATAAAATTAATCTAATTTTTTTGTTTAATTAAGTTTATTTAAATTTCTTAATATAATTAAATTTTCAAGACTTAATTAAAAATTTTTAATTATAGTTCGTGAATTTGATGACATAAAGAATTGTGTAAGAAGATACATTAAATACTCATAAAAACATGTACAGGAAAAATGATATTTATAGTTTAAAGACATATAACTCATATAGATTGGGTTCTCGGCAAAATTAGAAACAAAGTGCTTGCTAACATAGATTTAAACATGATTTTTTTTGATTTGAAGTCATTTTGTATTATTTGTACTTACATTTATTTGTAATTACATTTAAGACTTCAACATAAAAACGTTTAACTTTAAGTCCGCCAAAGGCGAGGAACATGTAGTTTCTCAAGAACTACCTTTAAAAACTTTGTATTTGTACACAAATGTGTACTGCTACATAATTGTACTAAATACTTGCAAAATGAATCAGGAACACTTTTGGTAAATCATACACTTGCGTCTGATATATAGACACAAGTATATGCTTTTGATAAGTGTCGAATTCGGAATCGATTTAACCATGTCTGTCCGTTTGCCCGTCCGTCTGTCGGCCCTTCCCAACGATAACTCAAAAACTAATTGAGCTAAGTCAAACAAATTCTCACAAATAATTTAAGTTTTATAGTTAATGTCAGAACCCTATTTAAATTTGATATGATCGAGTCACTGCTTCGGGTTGCTGTCATACAACTTCAAAATTTATTTGGCTGATCTCAGAAATTATGGAAATTATTTATAGGTTTTGAAATATCGCACAAGCGAATATGTTTTTAGGGCTGTTGTGGTTGATTGGATCCTTGTGGGAGCAGCCAACTTGTAAAGTTATTTGGCTATATCTTAAAAATTGTTCAAGCAACCATACTGAAATTTTGCAAAAAGAAATATGGTAAAATGGCCGCTATACTCGTTTAAATTTGTTGAGATGCCCTGTGCGCTTGTGATAGCCGCCATAAAACAAACGATACAAAGCTACATAACAGAAATTTTGACAGTTATCAAAATTTTCAAAGCTGAAAAGAAATGAATGTCATACGTTCTAAACGTTTATATACATGTTTTACTTATTTGTATTTTTTACTTGAGGATTGCCATTAGTAGAAATCTTATGGAATTATTTATGTCTATTTAATTATACAACAAAAATTTTTATAATTTAAAAAAATGAATTTAAATATAGACAATGAAAATAATAATAAAGTTATGTTTTGAATTCATTGCATATAAAAAAACTAAGGAATAATTTCAATTAATTTATTACTTATAGATAATTTTCTAAAGTAATACTTATAAGTACATTACAAAAAATTACGAAATATTTTGATTGACCGCTAGTAAGTACGAAAAGGTTAAAAACCAATAACTTAAGCTATGATGTGCAAATAGGTCGCAATATGTAAACATAATCTACGGTTACTAGAAAAATACTTTTAATTTTTTCAATACCAATAGTTAAATAAGTGACTAGAATATGTTTTAATAATAATCAGAAATATGTGATTAGAATTAGTTTTAATTCATAATTATTCTAAATTAATATGAAGGTATAGCTATAAGTGACATATGTGTGTATATAGTACTTAACATAAGTATAATCAAAGTTTAAGAAGCGAATTCTCAAGCTATAATACGATAATCAAATCAAAAGTATCGGTATCTATTATTTATAAATTTCAAAAAAATACTGCGTTTGTCTAACTCTAAGTGTTAACTTAGTCTAACTCTTTCTGCCGTCTCGAAAATTTCTAGAGTCGGTGGCAGATGTAATTATACAATGACAAAAAGTTATTACTTTTTGTCTACGTATGAGGTAAACAAGCCTCCTTCAGTCTTAGTATATCTCATAAAATAGTATGAGATAGCAACATTTTGTGAAGAACGCATAGAGATACAGAGACTTGTCGTCCTACTAGCTGCTGCGAATTAAAAGCGGCTGGTTTACGATTCATATAATTATTTCAAAATGACCATGAATCGGCTTAGTACAATTTTTTCTACCTTATCACACTGGGCTGAAACGAAAGCGATTTTTGAATTTTAAGGTATTAAGTATCGAGAAATTTTAAGGCTTAATTATGTTGAGCATAGTAACAAGTTTTTTGGCATAAAAACTTGCTCTGAAATCTACCCTTGCAGAAATTTATCCAACTTCTTTTTACGTAGCTTGTGTCAAAACTTTATTTTGATTATTTGTCAAAAGAATTGTCATATTTAAATACAATTAATGTTGTTTTATAGGGCTCACTCAAAGCGGTCGTATAATAGAAATGAGAAGATAAAGTTTTTCTTTATTCTTAACCAAGCATATTTTATTATTAGTGCTTCAAATACGCGCGCTAAAAAGCAACTTAATTTAATTTTTTTTTTTGTTTGTTTGTTATTTTTTTTCTCATATTCTAAACAACCCATTGTAGTATATGTATGTATACACGTATTAAGTTTAAATGCGAACATAATAAGTATATAATTTTGCGAAAACATTTGTATTAGTTGTTTTGAATATGCTAAATTGTTATATAATAATATGCATGTGTTTGAAAATTAAAAAAAATAATTTTTGAAACATGAACCCTCGATTGAAAATAAATAAATTTTCATTTATTTTCAAACCGATTGAAAATTATTTTGTTTTTCGAAAATGCATATCTTGTCCGAATTTGGTAGAAAAATAAATCTCATGTGACATGGTTATTTATGTCTTAAACAAATATGCTCATTAATATTGAACACATTTTGCATAAGAAAATAAGTTTGTATGTTTCAGAAAGGAAATATATTAGAACAAAATTGTAAAATATTTAACAAGAAAATATTAGTGCTGCTCACGTTTTTCAATCCCATCTTGGGATTGGGAGTATGTACTTGGTTTTTTCAATATTATGATAGTGCTCAACAATTCAATATTATAAATTGTGAGGAAGAAATCTTCGCCAACAGGTCTTTTCAGAGAAGCCAATAGCAATAAAATAATCGAAAAAAGAATGGTGACTAAATACATTGAGTTATCGAATAATTAGAATAGTGTGGTAATTCGCACTAAACGGTGTTAAAATGCACACGGGGACGAGCGTTGTTACTTATGTTGTGGTGCAAAGGAATTGACAGCATTTTCAATAGACTAATAGTCTTAGAGCTGTAATCTTGTAAATACAGAATTACAAAATTACGAAAAAATTTATTAGTCGCTCAGAATCTGTTACAATTTTTAGAGCAGAATGCGATTGACGGCACCTAGTTTAGAATTGGACGTTTACTATAAATTGAAGTGAGGTAGCAGAGTTCAGTTTGAAATATTTGAGTAGATAAATTAAATCAAAAATGAAAAATTTCAGCCTCAATAAGCCTTCATGCATTAAGAAGTTCCTTAAAGTTATTTAAATAGAATTAAATAGGAATAGAATTAAATAGAATTAAATATACTTATATATAATAGAACTCTTTCATATTTAAATTATTATATAGAACAAAATTTTATTTAAAAAGTGAAGAATAATATAACAAAATCCTTTATATATTGTTAACGCGTATTACAATAGAATTCACAAGATTTTTTTTTGTCTTTACTGATTGCCGCTGAAAACAGGCTCATAATTATGTATATTTTGAATTTGCTCACCGTTGACACTCAAAGAGACTCAATGTAAAAAAGCAACTTTCAACTCAGAATTCTTAATTTAATACTATGTTCCTTTATTTAATTTTTATGTGTTTTTCAGCTTATTTGACGATTGGAAACGACAAACTCTATACCTTCCAAATTCGGACATTTAACAATCAAGTTTTATAAATGTGTCTATCGTTATAAGTAGAATCAAAAAATAAAATACTCAGTTATAAAAATTGTATAATTAAATTTAACTTACCTTTTAGAATAGATTTCACACTTCATATATATATTTCCTTTTACTGATGAAATAAATTATGTTGTGTATTAATTATAAAACTTTAAAACTTCTTTTCGTTTTTTCCAAAATGTAAGTATAATGACTAAGTATGATAATTAGTAAACAAAAAAAAAAAAAAATTAAATAAAACAAAAAATGAACGGATTTATTTTTTATTGTTATACAATTATAGTTATTGTTATACAATCTGTTATAATTACGTTTCCGTTCAATGATTAATAATTCTTAATCTCTCTGTATCTTTTGCTAACTTTTATTATTTTTTTTAAATAGCACACTTTTTTTTTAATTTTATTTCCTTAGTATAAAAACAAAAGTTAAGATTAAAAATTTTTATTTTCGACTTGAGTCATAACCATGAAATCACGGTTTAATGAATGCCAAAAAAAAAGTAGTTATGAATTTTTTTTGTTTTTGTTTTCTTTTTTGCTCCTCAGATAAATATCACAAACCAAGTAAACTTATTATAAAACCTACATGTATAAAAAAAAAGGAAAATGAAAGCAAATTATTTTTGAACCCATAAAATTTAAGACTTACTATAAATTATAAAAAAAAAACAATTTATTTTATTAAATTAATTAAAATTTTATAAATTTTTTATTTTAAAATTTTTTTTTTTAATTTTTTGAGAAAGTTATCTTTATTTTCTTTTTTTAATTCACTGAACACAAGTATGTACGTAAATATGTAAGTAAATCACTTCACAAGTTATCTTTGTCGTTTATCTGTATTTCAAGTATAACAGTTAATTTAAATCACATAATTTAAGATTTTTGCAGAATAGCACTGTCTGAAAATTTTAAACTCTTTAGACCTTAATATATTAAATCAACTGTGGAACGTATTCTATTTCCTTAGATAATTTTCATTTATGCATAAACTAGTGATAATTTTAATTTTTACAGCATTGAAAAATCTTTAAAAGTTTTTTTAATTTTAAATTATAATATTTACAATATTCTAATTGTAACACTTATTTTAAATTGTATATGGTATGGTAAATTAAGTAAGTATGATTTCAAAAAATGTTTAATAATTCAAATTTTTAATTTTCACATAAGTATATACATAGGTACATATATATATTTTATGAAAATACAACAATTATACAAACACGTATAATTGATGGGCTTTTAAATTTTTTGCCTGAATATTACTAAACGTAATATTTTGTCACTTAATTAAGGTATTGTAACTTGAAAATTGTGATCGAATTTTAGAATATACAACAAAATTTAGAAAATATTTTGAAATTCACTTTTGATTTTTATAACTAAAATTATCGTAAGTGAAATAAATTTATTTTTAAACAACTTTTTTGATAGAAACAAATCTTATTCCTAAAGTTTCAACTGAGATTATTTCGTCCGGCTCATCACGATGTGAAACAATTGAATACGTCTAAATAGCCTCAATAAAATTTACAAATGCTCATTTTTATAAACAAATATAATATATGTAAGTATGTACTTATTCGTATAAAGCTAGTGCGGGTTTTAAAAAGTTAAAATAAATTATAATTAATATTTTAATTATAAAATATCTGAAACTACTAATAAAAGTATACATTCAAGTCGAAAAATATAAATAACTGGAACATTTTTGTGGTCTTAAGGGCAAGATCATTGTAAAATTACACATACGGCATACTTGAATTCTAATATCGTCGGTTAAAAAGCAGAAAGCATTAAGTCAGGAAACTGTGTTTTGAGTAAATTCAATTTGAAAAAATCGTAAAATTGTAAAATTGTTAGTGTAATTCGATTGGTCTCTTTAATTTCTGGATTTATAAACTTTATTCTGGATTTGCATGATTTTTTGCCACAACAAAGATTATATTATTCTGATTTAATTCATCTATGAAATCCGAATTCTCAAAAAATGCACTTAGTGCTTTCTGCTTTTTAACCGACGATATGCAGTATGTGTAATTTAAAAACAATGTATTCCAACCATGTTGTAAATTTGTTAACAAAATATTAGGAAAAATTCATTTTAGATTCACCTACATACATAATTATATTTTTCATACCACTAAAACGATATTTTTTTTTAATTTTAATAAACTCATTCTTAATTTTTTTTTTTAAATTTCAAAAATTTTTCTTTTCTTAAGCAAAATTAAATGCTTTAATTGGCATTTTTTTTTTGATTAAAATTAAAACTTGATTTATTTTTCTTTCCTTTCTCCAATTGCTAAAACATTGCGATTAATAAAAACCGGATGGCAATCTTTAAAATTAAAAGCGCGAAAATTAAAACGTTTGCTTTTATAATTTTCAATTAAAAACAACAACGACAACATCATGTAACAATATGCAAACGCGTACCATAAATTAAAACACAACAAAAAACTATATGTGCATTGTAAAAGGTTAGTTTTTACCATATACCAGTCGGTCATAAACTTTCAGCACAGGTGAGTGAAAAAGGTGAAGAAAAAAAAAAACAGAATTAAAACTCACAGACGAAAAACAAAAAAATTTTTTATTTTCAGCTTTCTAAAATTATTTAATTAGATTGGTGCCGCAACATGCTTGAAAGAATGAAAGAATCGAACTGAACTTGCCAAAAAATAAAAAAAAAGGAAAAAAGTATTAATGTCCAAAATTTGAAATTCAGGTGAGTCTGATACATTTTTTTTTATTTATTTTTTCTTTATATACTTTTCTATTATATAAGTATTTGCGCTTTTAGCCGATCATGATCTTTTTTTTTCCTTTTCTTTTTTTCGAATTTTAAAGAGGTGTTTATTTTTTTTTTAACAACAAGTAAATAAAATTTGCAGTGGCGTGCCATATAGATTTTAAAATTTTGTGTCTAATATATCAACAAAAAAATTATGAATTCAGCATAGGTATAAGATAATTATATCATGTGTGTTAGACTAAGAACATAGTCGGAACAAGGAATCGCAAATTTACCAAATATGAATGGTTGGATTAAAATTACCAAATATTACAGTGGATAATTACAAATAATTTACCAAATATTACAATGGATTAAAATTAAATCAACTTGTAATCGAACAAAATTTGATTCATTTTACAGTTGTTTTTAAATGTCATAACTAACGTAGTTTATTAAGTTTATGATCTTCAAAATATTTTTAAAAGATAAGCTATTTCTGAGAGAATCTAGTTAAATTTAAAGGATCATTGCTGCGACACTGTTACAGAAAGAGTCGTGCGACACACCGCAATAGAGTTATTGATGCAATTTATTTTGTATAAGTATGATAGAGACTGACACTTTATAATGGCTCTGTACAATGACAATACATTATTAATCTCAATCTCAATAATCATGATGCAGTTCTTGGCCTTATTGAGCTAACCTATTTTTATTTTTACTTTTCAATTATTTTTAATTACAGAAAAAAATCATTAATGTTTAGATTTTTGGTGCAATAGGGTTCTGGTTTCACATTTTTTCTATTGATTATTCTATTTGTACTCTCCTCTACTCATTTTTTGAATTTAATTTTTTCTGATTTATGATTTTTTTATGATTCCAATTTAATTTCATAGCATGTTGCATCGACAAATATTCAATATTACAACGTTCTCGGTGACTTATGTCACAACAGTATAAACTATCATATTTAAAGAAAAATGTAGACTTAAATTCTGCAAACACAAAGTTAAGTTAGTCTTTCAAACACATACCTATATTTTTACCAAATGAAAGTTTTGACGAGATTTACTTGATTTTAGTACAAACTAATAAGTTTGACTTTGATTATTGTTTCTTCTTATTGCCACAGACTTTTTCAAATTTTTAGAAATAATAAAATAAGTTTATTTGAGAAACATATTTATAATTTTGAAATAGGAAAATTTGAATTTAGTTGTGACACACTTAAGGGTTCGACGATTGTTAAATTAAGTATCATTAATAAATTTTGCTTAATTTTGAAATTAAAAGTTACTTATGCGTTTTTAAAACGTTCTTAGTGTTAAAAAGTTCTTTTATTGAATTGCAAAATTTTAATTTTTTTGTATTAAACTCAAATTTTTTTTTCATTCTTATCATAGCGAGCCCCGTCTAACTATGAAAATAATTCACCATACCACAATTTAGCACTAATATTGAATTTTAATAAATTTTTTTTTATGAAATTGCAGTTTTTCATTTCAATTTGTCAAGCACATTTTAACAAGCAGCAAACATTTTATTCATAATTTTAACAGCAAATTCATTAATTGATTTTTAAATTGAACAATGTATTTTTTTGTTCTTGCACATACATATGTACATACAAACACAAATATATCTTTGAGTTAATTTTCGGAAATCACTTCAGACTGATTCTTAAAATATTTTTTTTTTTAATTAAAAAAATCGAATCAAAATTTGTGATTAATTATTTTTTGTACAATTTTTTTAGCATTTCAAATTTCTTTTTCAAGCATTTTTCTTTGAATTCGTTTTTCACTTCTATAATCACCATAAAAACCGTTGTTTGCTAATACAAACATACATACATACTTATTTACATTATTATGTAAGTTTATACCATTATTATTCTCTTTTTATTTTCTTTTGTTTTTCTACTAGATCATACGATTATTTTAACATAATTATCACCTTTATTTCACTTTGCTATGAATTTTTTTGACACAATATCAATACACATTCATACATACATAGAAATGTGTACATAAATATGTGCAATTTTTTTTGCTAACTGCTTGATTTTAATGAAAATATTGAAAGTTTTACTGCACAAGAACCATTTATTTAAATTAAAATTTTTATTTCAATAATCTTTAATCATTTGTGACGAAAATTACCTTGCCAAGGAAGTCAAATTAATTACGTTTCAAACACAGGAGTTACAAAAATTTAAAATCATTTCAAAATTTTAACAATTTTTATTAAATCTTCTTTACAAAAAAAAAAAAAAATAAAAATTGTATTTTATTTTTTTTCTTCTTTTCTATTTGTTTTGCTTTTCTTTCTTTTTTTTTGCGCTACAACCGAGCGATTTGCCGCGTACACCGTTAACTAACCGAAAGCTTTCGGTAAAATGATGATCAATAAAATGAGCGAATAAAAGCCGAACTAAAAAAAAAATAAAAAAAATCACGTAATAACTTTTTTTTTATTATGTTTGTACGTCTGAGCAATTGCTAGCTGATAAGCTTTCCTGATATTTTTTTTTTGTGTACTGCAACATTAAATTTTGCGCAAGCGATTATAACACTCCAAAATAATTGAAAAATTCATATAATATGAGTGTATGAATATAAATGTGCGCTTGTATAAACAGTTAAATTATCTATAATAAAATTTTGTCATCAAAGAGACAATTGAAAACGAACCTTTACACTTAACTACAGAGTACAGGTACACCACATAAGCTTTACATGCTCAATTGTTATAAATGCAATAATTTTTTAAGTTGATATTTTATTATTTAATTTATCACCTATGGATCTTAAGCTATTGTATAGCTGGCAGTATATAATATTATTATTGTTGCATTTTTTATTGAAAGATGCAAGTTTTTTATAAAAAAAAATATTTAAGAAAATAAAAATGAAAATTAAAGAATGTTTAAACTATAATTTAATTTTATATTACTTTTTTTGATAATTTGGACGTTATCCATGCAGCAATGGTTCGTTTTTAGTGTTTTTCTAAAAAAAAATTAAAGAAAGCTTCTAATTGGATTTACTTTTTCCGGCCGTCCGTCTGTCAGTCCGTGGATATATTTACAAAACTTTTACACCCTTGCGGGTAGGAAGCTGAAATTTCATATTTAAAAATGTCTTTGCTAGAAAATTCCATTTTTTTATTATTTATTTTTAAGAAACTACCTATAAACATTTTTTTCAATTTTGCAACTGCAACAAATAGTTACAGCTGGCTTCTTCTACCGCGGTACAGCAAAATTCAATACTAAAAAGACAAAAAGGCTGCTAAAATTATCCGTAATAAAAAAATCCGTCTTGTTTAAATTTTTGATAGAATTTTCTTTCTATAAAAAGTAGGTTGTAAGTGTTTGAAATAAAGGGCTTACTTCGTCAGAACAAATTTTTTTTCCACCTCCCAAGTTATTACCTCTCTAAACTTGTAAAATTTTAATTTTTGGTAGCTTATATTTCCTAAACAACAAGCCTTCCCAAATTTCTATGAATGTGAAAAGCTGACGTTTAATGCCATACCATCAAAAAAAGTAATTATTTTTCTTAACTCACGCAATTAACCCTTGAATCCAAGCTTTATCTTGACATCCCTTTCAACTTTTTGTCTCAACCTAAGTATATACAGTCATTGAAATATTTTGGTCATGAATGAATGCAGTTTAGACATTAATAGAATGTTTTTAGAGGAATTTTTATCAGTTGTTGAAAAAAAAAGTCCTACTTAGCAAACCACTGGTTTTCACTGACCTTATTAATATCATTAAGAACTTTTACATACATACATCATTTTTTTTTAAATCAGGTGGTACCTTAAACTACATTTATTTTTATAGCTTTTATGCAAAATTTATTTGAATATGCCAGATATCTAAATTTGAGAAGATTTGCGATGAAAATTATAATTAATAAGTGCTTTTGATAGTAGTGTGGTATGCGAATCTATTTTCTATTGAAATCACGTTTATTAAAAACAAATATCCTGGAACAATTACTAATTTAGGAATTTGCATAGTCAATATCGCGAATAGTAACATCTAAAATCGATGTTTCAATGATTTATTCAGACAACGGAAGGAAGACACTAAAAATAACTTCAAAGCTTTTCATTGTGGCTATGATATTTTTGAATTTTTATTTGTCGCACATTGCTCAAATTCGGTTCGTCAAGCTCGTTATACAGAATCAATATTGTGATAAGTTAAATACTCAAATAATATATAAAATAAGTTCTCATGTGAAAACTCTCCTGTATCTTAATAATAAAACCTTAAATGAAAAAATTTTAAGATTAGATAAAAATATTAGTAAGATTAGATATTAGATGAGAGAACAAGTCTTGTGGGATATTTATTCAATTTTAAAAGTTTCGTTCGCTGTCGAAAAAACCAAAATCAAAAAATAAATATGATGATGTACTTTGAAAATTTAGTAAGCATCCCCTGAGTTTCACGATACAGTAGTAAGTCATATTTTTAGGATAAATCAAATTTTAAAACTATTTTAGTATAAAACGAAATGCAATATATTCTTATTTGTGGAAAATTCGTTTGAAATCGAAAACACACCTTGAATTTCAGGTATACTTTTATTAAATTCAGAGTACTTTTATTAAATTAAATTTAGAAATTCATGTTTAAGCTGAACTCAGTAATTTCAGCTCAATTTGTAAATATTATGCTTAATTGATGTCAGCAGATATGTGTGTGTCTGCAAAATATGGGACGACGTTGTACAAGGTCCAGTTTAATTCCTGTTCTTTTAGGTTTTTTTTTTAAATTCCTGCAACACTAAGTGAACAAGGTTCATTTTCTGCAATATAGTAAGTGATTTTCAGTATGAGTGAACAATGAATAGTCTTTTTGAGCTAGGATTAAAATACAACTAAACATGTAAATAAGTCAGGATGCTTCATTATTGTAATCACAATTTACATACTGCAATTACTTATCTTTTAATGTTATGAACGAAAGAGCGAATTTATTATGTCATATATAAATTATATTGTATTGTATTATAAAAAGCTTTGATCAGTACATACATAAAACGAACAATAATGAATCACCTGGAGTTTATTCACTATCAAAGAATAAAAATTATTTTGTGGTTTAAATAAATTGCTCTAATAAGTTTCAATTATATATTGCGGCTATTTTTTTCTTATTTTCTCTATTTATGTGCACATACATTAAACATATACATATGCATGTAAGTGACTAAATTAAGAGAGTGTATAACAAACTTATCGCTCCATTTGAATAACTGAAAACTTTACTAACGCTATTTTCATAAATCATTTACTTAATATATTATCAGTCTAATTGTGTATCTCGGTTTTTTGTTTCACTATTTATTCACTTTCAATTCAGAATATTTCTTAATTCAATGTCATTTTTATGACATCTTCAATGTCATTTTTCCAATAAGAAAGTTCACTTTTTCAATGGGATTTTCGCACTTTTTCTCAAAATATTAATTTAACTTGTCAAATTTTGTGTAAACATTTTAGGAAAAACGAGATACATAATACGAAAAAATTCTCCCTCAAAAATTACATTGCACAAACATGTTATACACTCTCTATTAAACATATACTCACTCAATTTCTCTCACTCAGCGAGTAAAAAAGTGAGATAAACGATTATGGCCTATTGATACGGTTGGAATAAACATGTTTACTGCGCGAGTTATTATATGCATATTATATGTATTTTAACAAACTACCGAAACGTTTGCGAGTTAACTGGTATGACACATTGCTTTAAATTGTATTTTGTCATTACTTAATCTTTGAAATACCAAAACAAATATCCTAGAGATTACAAGGAAAACTGTGTTTTTTTTTTTTAGTTTTATGCATAGTTTTCTATTATTCAGGTATTCAATATTCACCTGTAATTTGATTATATTTCATAATTGAGTATAAATTGAATTTGAGTTGAAAGGAAAAGTGTATATAGAAATAAATAATTATTTGTGTTAATTAAGTTATTTGATTTGAAAATTTTGGAAATGAATTCATATACGAATACAAAAACAATTTTATTTTGGGGATGATTTCAATTGACAATGAATTCTTGTGTTTGTTTTTAATTTTACGTGCTGTTTTTTGAAAAAAATATCATTCGACATCTTATTATCACTTGAATTTTTGAGTAATTTTTGTCACAGAAAAGCTTCTGTTACTGTGCAATTTTGTTTAAAAAAGCAATTGAAATGGAGATACAAGTACAAAAAATCGAAATGTGATTAAACATTGCACTAAATTGCAAAATATGCATATAATATTATGTGAGTACATCTTACGTAATTAAGGAACCAAAAATTTAATTTCGTTACTCAAAATTATTAAAATTGAAACTGAAGTTGCCATCAAAGCAAATCATAATGCACTAAGCTTTTAGAGCATAAGGCTGGAATAAAGTAAAAGAAATACTGGATATTAAGCAAGAACGTTTAATAGAAATGGAAAAGAAAAAATTTGTACAAATATGTAGCCAAAGGTTAGAAGACAATTTTCCACTAGAAGAGAATTTTTTCCCACCTCCATCGTCTCGAAAATTATAATTTTCGGACTCTTGTATTTTCGAAACTGTAAGCCTTTTCAATTTTCTATAAAAGGAAAAAAGTAACAGTAGATAATGTCTCAAATAATTATAAAAAATATAATTATATACTTGAACTCACGCAATTAATGGCATTATGATAAATTTTTTTTCTTGTAATTGTTGTTTTTAGCCAAAAAGTATGCAATAATTATTCCCATAATATTATTTTCACATTACTGAAATAATTCAAATATACGATTATTGTTTAAAATCTTAGTTGTTATTCACTTATTCAAGGTGAAAAGTGCTACTTTACAAACTATTTGCTTGATTCAATTTTATTGTACCTCATGTACTCTTAATTAAAGTGCATACGCTTACTTATATGAATTTCGAATTATCTGGCTTCCATTAAATTAAATTACGTAACATTTGTGCACCAACTAAATAAGTTAGTGTAAACTTTCGATGAACAGGTAGTTAAAAACTTCAATAAAGTTTATTATGAAAATAAAAACTAATTAAAAAAAGTTCTATAGCGCCTCTTCCATAACTTAAAATGTTTTAAACATTTTTTTTTTAAAGTAAATAAAAAAAAATTTATGCACAATCATTGAATGTGGTTTTATGTAAAAAAAACACAAAAAAAAACTTGATATTCAATTCCATATAATTTTATCTTTATATATTTTGTAAATTGCGGTTTTACTATTAGGTAATGTTCCAATTATTATTTAATTCTATAATTAAAAACTTTGAAAAGACACTTAATAATAAAAACAAAGAATATACATAAAATGCACAAGCTATGTATTT